AGAAGGGAGAAGGAGAAGGAGAAGGAGAAGAGAAGGAAGAAGAAGGGGAAGGAGAAGGAGAAGGAGAAGGAGAAGGAGAAGGAGAAGGAGAAGGAGAAGAGAAAGGAGAAGGAAAAGAAGAAGAAGGAGAAGAGAGGAGAGAGGAGGAGGAGGAGAAGGAGAAGAGAGGAGGAGGAGGAGGAGAGGAGAAAGAAGGAGAAGGAGAAAGAGAAGAGAAGAGAAGAGAAGGAGAAGGAGAAGGAGAAGAGAAAGAGAAAGAGAAAGAGAAAGAGAAAGAGAAAAGAGAAAGAGAAAGAGAAAGAGAAAGAGAAAAGAGAAAGAGAAGGAGAAGGAGAAGGAGAAGGAGAAGAGAAGAGAAAGAGAAGAGAAGCAAGGAGAAGGAGAAGGAGAAGAGAGAAGAGAAGGAGAAGGAGAAGGAGAAGGAGAAGGAAAGGAGAAGGAGGAGAAGGAGAAGAAGGAGAGAAGAGAAGGAGAAGGAGAGGAGAAGGAGAAGAGAAGGAGAAGGAGAAGGAGAAGGAGAAGGAGAAGGAGAAGGAGAAGGAGAAGGAGAAGAGAAGGAGAAGAGAAGAAAGAGAAAGAGAAGGAGAAGGAGAGGAGAAGGAAAGAAAGAAGAAGAGAAGAAAGAAGGAGAAGAAGGCGAAGTGGAAGAGGAAAGAAGAAGGAGAAGGAGGAGGAGGAGGAGAGAAGAAGAAAAGAAGAAGAAGAAGAAGAGAAGAAGAAGAAGAAGAAGAAGAAGAAGAAGGGAGAAGGAGAAGGAGAAGGAGAAGAAGAAGGAGAAGGAGAAGAAGAAGAAGAAGAGAAGAGTAGAAGAAGAAGGGAAGAGAGAAGAAAAGAGGAGAGGAGGAGGAGGAGCAGTAAAAAAGATGATGGTGAAGAAAAATAAGAAAAAAAGAGAAAAAATAGGAATTAGAAGAAGAAAACGAAGATGATGGAAAGAAGAAAGAAAAAGAAAAAGAAAAAAAGAAAAGGAAAAAAGAAAGGAAAAGAGAAGAAAAGAACAAAAAAAGAAGCAGAAAGAAGAAGAAGAAAAAAAGAAGAAAAAGAAGAGCATAAGTAAAAGAAGGAGTGAAAGAAGATGACGGTGAAGAAGTAGAAAAAGAAATAGAAGAAGAAGAAGGAGACGATGAATGATAATGATGATAATGTTAAAAATAATTATAACAATAATAATTATGAAAAATGTTAATGATAATAATATTGATATAATGATGATAATAATAATGATAATAATAATAATAATAACAATGATAATAAGAATAACAAGAATAAAAACAACAATAGAAACAAAAACGAAGACAAGAAAGAGACAAAGAAGAAAAGGAAAAAGAAGAAATAAGAAATAAAATTATATCATTAATATAAAAATTAGCAAAAACTGATATCAATTAATATAAAAATGATTATTCAGAGAAGATGAGAAAGAGACAAAAAAGACATTTCTATTGACATAAAACATAAGAAAAAGTCTATTTTAAGCTCATTTGCAGCGGTAAAAATACGTTTTTTTTTTTTTTTTTTTTTTTTTTTTTACTAATTATATGCACTGAATCTTTTAGCTATCAAATTATAGTCCAGATAATAGAGGTTCTTGCAACTTCACGGGTAATTAGTCATGTCATTGACTGACTTGATTAAGAACTCATTGTTCCGTTGCAAGAATGAAAATAATCTTTTAGTTTAATCTTTTTTCCTTTCTTCTTCTTTCTCTCACTCTCTCTCTCTCTCTTTTACTCTCTCTCTCTCTTTTACTTACTCTCTTTCTCTCTCTCTCTCTCTTTCTCTCACTCACTCTCTCTCTCTCTTCTTTCTCTCTCACTCTCTCCTTCTGTCTCTCTCTCTCTCTTTTACTCTCTCTCTCCTCTCTCAATCTTTCTCTCTCTTTTATTATCATTATCATTTTTGCCTGTTTACAAGTATTTTCTTCTAAGAACTCAACAAAAAGATTATTACCGGCATTGCAAAAAGTAATAATAAAACCAGTTATGATCATATTTGATATTAATGATATTTGATACTACTAAATGATTGATACTGATAATGATAACAATTCATATCAATAATACTAATACTAATATCATCACTACTTTTACCATTGCTAATTCTAATCAAAATTATGATAGCTAATGTTAAGGATAATTGATATTGATGATAGTTAATACTAGTAAAGACAATAATGGACTCTCATTACAAAAGCAATTATATTTAACACGCTAATGAGGATAAAATGATATTGAAACACGAAGACCAATTTTTTCGGCACTTCATAATCACAGCAGGTCGTCTGTTGATGCCACCCTCCCTCCCGCCCACCCTTCCCGCCCACCGCCCACCCGCCCACCCGCCCACTCTCCTTCCCCACTCCTTGCCACCTATCCACTCGCCTTCTCCCCTCACTTTCTATCCACCCATCTATCCTTCTCTCTTTATCTCCCCTCCACCAACCTCATCCCTCTCCATCCACCTGCCTACCTTTCCCTCCCTCCACATCCACCCGCCTACTCACCTCTTCTCCACTTCACTCTCCTCCACCTACCACGCCCTCCCCCTTCATCCTTCTTCCTCTCCCTCCACTCATCCCCTTCCCTCTCCATCCACCCACCGACCCTTCTCCACTTCACTCTCCACAATGCCTACCCTCTCCATTATCCACCCTCTTTCTCTTCTCCTTCCTCCTACCTCACACGCCTTCTACCTCCCTCCCCCTACACACACCCATCCTCCTCCCTTCACCTTCTCCCACTCACCCACCCACCCATCCCCTTCCCCCCTGCCTCCCCACCCCTCACCCACCCATCCCCCTCCCCCTACCCCTCCCCCTCACCCCATCCACCCATCCCCTTCCCCTCACCCTCCACCCACCCATCCCCTTCCCCCCTCACCCACCCACCCATCCCCTCCCCTTCACCACCCATCCACCCATCCCCTCCCCCTTCACCTACCCACCATCCCCTTTCTCTCTTCACCCACACTCATCCCTCACCATCCACCCTCCCCCTCCCTCACCACCCATCCACCCCTCTCCCCCTCCCCCCCTTCACCCACTCTCCACCCATCCCCATCCCCCTCACCCACCCATCCACCCATCCCCTCCTCCCCCACCCTCCCCTTCCCCCCTCACCCTCCCACCCACCATCCACCCATCCCCTTCCCCCCTCACCCACCCACCCACCATCCCCTTCCCCTGCCTCCCCACCCTCACCCCCATCCACCATCCCCCTCTCTCACCACTCATCCCCTTCCCCCCCACCTCCACCCATCCATCCCCTCCCCCCTCACCCACCCTTCATCCCCTTCCCCCCCTTCCACCTCAACCCATCCCCTTCCCCCTCACCCACCCTTCCTCCTTCCTCCTTCACCCATCCACCCCTCCCCCTTCCCCCCTCACCCACCCACCGCCTCGCTACCTTAGATCCGTCGGCAGGGAGAGCATGCGAGCTCGGAACCCGCGCCAGTGTGACGTCGGAAGCGGGACAGTGCGGGTGTGTGTTTCTCGCGTCCTCTCTCCCTGGCTGTGCGTTGCGGCCAGCTGCTGGAGTCCGCGTGGTTCCGTTCCAGTCTTTTTGGGGTCGGGAGTTATATCTTTATTAAAAAAAAAAAAAAGAGTTGGTGGTTATGTAAATATATCTAACGTTGTGGGTAGTTCCGTCTGCTTTTTTTTATTTATTTTATTTTTTTTTTTTTTGGATTTACTTTTTTTTGGATTATTGTCAATTGGATATAAATGGGGATCATTAGTTGTGAATTAATAGGGTACAGGATTTTCTTAAACCGTTTGGTACAATTTTACTTGCACAAACTTAACAATGTTCTACGTAATAACAAAGCATTGGACATGAACAATTAAGGGAACATATGAACTTTATATAACACAGAACATTCCCCCAAAACAGTGACTCGTAAATGGAAACACAACATCTATAACGTTAAATAAAATGTTACATTTTAGACATCAAGTATAGCCATAAAGAAAAAAAAGAAAAAGAAAAAAGATAGAAAGAAAAAAATGAATGAATAAAAAAAAATACCGATTGTGACTCCTCAAAAAAAAAAAAAAAAAATTACGAAGGAACAAAGAAAAGAGAAAGAGAGATAGATAGAGAGAGAGAGAAGAAAAATAAAAAATATTGGAATTCTAAAAAAAAAAAAAAAGCTCACAAACCTATCCATTAATTGCAACGTTACAGGAATCGGAATTTTGTTGCAAAGAACCGGACTGCTATTGCAACTGTGGCAAAGGAGTAGAAATATCGGAAAAAATTGATGCTGTTTCTTTGTACCAGATCTGGCAACGGTGATACATTATCTATTGAGAATTCTATCAATTATTCGCCAAGAATTAGACTAATGGATACTTTGTGAATCTCTAAAAAATAATTATATCATTACGGATAATTATTACGAAAATGACATAATAAAAAATGGATACTTGTGACTCTCTCTGAAAAAAATAATGATATTA